AGCTACAACTCTGCACATCACCCTTGTTCTTAAAGATCGGCACTAGTACACTTCTCCTCCATTCCTCAGGTATCTTCTCACTTTCTAAAATCCTGTTGAACAAACTAGAACAAACTTTCCTACCTGTCTCCCTGATCACTTCTGCTGTAGTTTCCCAGTCATCTGGAAGTTCTTCCTGACCACCAGAGTCATCCTACACACCACCACCCGATGTTGTCTGGCTACACTCTCTCCTACCACCACTTTGCAGTCACTAATCTCTCCCAGATCACCTCGTCTACATAGAATGTAGTCTGCCTGCGTACTCCTACCTACACTCTTATATGTAACTCTATGTTCCCCCCTCTTCTGGAAATAGTTGTTAACTACAGCCATTTCCATCCTCTTAGCAAAGTCCACCACCATCTGTCCTTCTAGGTTCCTTCCCTTAACACCAAACCTGCCCATCACCTCCTCATCACCTTTGTTCCCCTCACCAACGTGCCCGTTGAAGTCTGCCCCAATCACCACTGTCTCCCTTCTGGGAATAGTCTCCATCACCTCCTCTAACTCACTCCAGAATCTCCCCATCTCTTCTAACTTGCACCCTACTTGTGGAGCATAACTACTGACTACATTCAACATTACCCCTTCAATTTCCAACTTCAAACTGATCACCCTGTCTGACACTCTTTTCACCTCTAAAACATTCCTCACGAGCTCCTCCTTCAGGATCACTCCTACCCCGTTTATCTTCCTGTCCACACCTTCCTCTCCTTCTTCGACCAACAGTAGTCCAATTTCTGCCAGTACCCTGTAGGTCAACAGCAGAGGTGGCGGTCGTTGTTAACCCGGGCCTCGACCGATCCGGTATGGAATTCGCACTGATGATTTGCATGTTTAAATTTGGCATGTTTTTACGTTGGATGCCCTTCTTGACGCAACCCTCTCTATCCGGGCTTGGGACCGGCACAGAAGTCACTGGCTTGCAACCCCTGTGGCTAGATTTGGAAACAACAAACATATGATCACAATAATGTGTGTGATCCTGTTCACATCACCAGGGCTTTTATTTTCACACATATAATACAGTTCGAGTCAAAACCATTCTCGCTGTGGCTCGTGTCCCACAACACGACCTGCGTTGACGTGCCACCTGGGTTCAGACACTGACGACTGAAAAGTCTGTTACTGTGGGAGAAGTTCCAGTTCACTCTCACTCCCTGGTATCCTCCCCTTTAGTCCGCTTCCTCCCCTGAGGCACATCTTCCTTTCTTCTTCTTCTTCTTCTTCTTCTTGGCATCCCCATCCTCGATCCCGCTGGAGAACTCCGAGCGAATCAAGCTGACCTCCCTCTGAACGGGACATACCCTGAGGATGAGAAAGTGTCGATTAAAGAGTAACAAGTGTGTCATCGATGTGCACTGTGACTACAGACAGGGTGGGTATTTATGGAGTATCAATATTACAATAATAAATGAACAATGAATCAATCGCTGATCATTTTGGCTGCTGTACAAATGCACTACATTCTACTGAGAGCTGTTCCTCTTATTGTGTCCACACATTTATTTCAGTGAGGCTAAACATCAGAACCAGGTCTCAGTATAACCCGGTCCAGTTGAGCAGCAGCACAATCTGCAGTGACCACAGACGTGAACCAACACCATAGTGAAACAGTCCGAATACAAACATCATCACCTTCATGACGGAGGGTTTACTGCAGCGCTGCTGGATCAGACTGGCTCAGTCCGACACAGGGGTTCCTAATAAACTGACCACTGAGTGTGTATCTTAACCTAACAACTTTATTAGCTGAGGAGCACCTGAATGCACCCTGACTGTGGGACACAGAGGAAGCGGAGTCCAAACACACACCTGTAATTATATCTGTACTGCCCACTGTGTGTGTGTGTGTGTGTGTGTGTGTGTGTGTGTGTGTGTGTGTGTGTGTGTGTGTCAGGTCTTGTCCCGACATGCCAGCTGTGAACCACAAACTCAACAGCACACCGTGTAAACATGATGTGTGACTGAAGGGAGCTCATACATAATTAATAATGCCTTTCAGCAGGTGTGTGTTAACGAGCAGAGACAGAGACACACACACACACACACACACACACACACACACACACAGTTCAATGTAAAACTGGCAGAAAAATTAACATTTTTATGAAAACATAGATCCAGTGTTTGTGGACTTTAGGCAGAGCCATCACTGTCACACCTACTTTATATTAACACTGTTGTTGAAGGACGCAGATGGTGATTCAGTCTGTCATTCCCCACCAACCCCATCCACAGACCAACAGCACCAGTAAACGTGGTGTCCTCACCATCATGCGAGTCCAGACCCTGGTCCAGCTCATCGCTCTGACCTTCACTGTTGTCCACCAGCTACTAAACCCGTCCAGTGAGCTACACCGCAGGGTTCCTCCTCGGGGAACATGGGAGGTGTCTGTTTCCACCAACCAGAGTCACTGCTCTGTGTTCCAGTTGGTCCACCAGCTCCCCACACAACATCATGTTGGAGCTGTTTACTGAACCAACTGAGTCTGTGTGAAACCAACTTAATTCAAATGGAGCTGAGTCAAGAACAGCAGATGATGATGCACAACATCTGGGTGATCAGATCTGTCAGCATTGAGGACTAGCCAACTGGCTGACAAACGTAGTGCATGTTCTAGAAGGGCCTTCAGAATAAAAGTACCCTAGTGAAAGCTTTTAATGTGAAGAGCAATAGCAGGAAGTGTTCGGTGTGTCTCAGCAGTGACTGGACACAGCTGAGACTCGGCTCAAATCAGTCAAACAAAGCTGAGATGAGGAGTGAAAGTAAAACTCAGACCACGGAGACGTGCTGACTCGCTGGTCTCCAGCATGGACACAGAGCACCACAGGATGGTCCGCTCTGATCCAGGACCTCAGCAGACCACCTGGGGCCCCTGTGGTGCACCTGTCCTCACAACGGCTCAGTGTGGTTATAGTGGGCCAACATCAAACTCACCTCTTGTCTCCAGCTCTGCCCCGCCGTGCTGTCTGGCTGCTGGCTAGCTTCCTCTTCTGGGTCTGGACTAGACTCCTGCTCTGCTTCTTGTTGTGGTTTCCGGAGGCAGAGCTCAGACCCTGCGGAGCGTCTCTGAGGCCGAAGCTCTTGGCGGTGTGTCCCAGGTGGAGCGAGCGGATATGGAAGATGTGTTTGAGGTGAGCGGGGTAGGTGGTGTAGGCCCGCAGGAAGGACTGTAGTGCTGATGACATCACAGTGACATCACCAGGTCAACCAATGGCTTCACACTCACAGACAGGCAGAAAATGAAAGAGCTGTACCTTTCTTGGCGGTTTGGACCGAGTCCTGGTCTGAGTGGACAAAGTCCTCAAACTGGGTCTGTAGCACAGTGGCCCTCTCTCGGGTCTCCTGCTCCAGAGCTCTGGACGAACTCTGCAGACAAGCACAACTAAACCTTGATCTTCCCTGTGAACCTCCACTGGACTGAGACAGGAGATTCAAACTACACTTATTTTAATTATTTTTATCTTTGCTACCATCAGGGTCTTTGTACAAATTTAACTGTTAATCCACTCATTTGGTAATGTGTTACTTTACCCTGGGATTCCAATCAGAGTCTAATGCTTTAATGCTTCCACGGTGGGAACCTGACCAGCCCTACACCCTGAACATCCTTTAACCATCACCAAGCGTAGCTTCCAGGGTCGACGCCAACTGTCCTGCTTTGTTTCTCCACTGTACTTTCTCTGTCGTCCTCAGTTTAGATGAGGGAGGGGCTGCTCCCCCCACATGCAGTCAGCTGTGCGTTTACACATGGCGCGTGTAACGCTAATACTCATTGTGTGAGGACGCAAACATTTAACTGATCACCGATGACTGCTCTGCGTGCACTGCACCCCCCCCCCCAAACCCCCCAGTCGCGTTCCTATGATGGACAAACTCCTCAACAGTGATTAATTAAATATTAACACCGTCTAGATCAAGTGGCGCCACTGGCGGTGAAGCCCACAGCGATCAGACTGACACCGCTGAACATGCCAGGGAATCAGCAGCTTCAATCCTCCTGGATGTCCTGTGACAGACTCACACAGTAGGTCAAGTCAGAGTCTGAACGTCCTGCAGGTTCACATCGGGTTTCTTTAGAGCTGCTTCAGTCACTGTATATCACCCGCTGCCTTCAGATATCAGCAGCAGAGACACAGCAGGTGTCCTCTCAGCTGCCTGTTGGTTCAGATACATGAGGATACTCCAGACTGAGCAGTAGGCCCAGTCCTCACTGTGCTGTCACCTCGGCTGCACATGCGGCCATATGAGAAATAAGAATTAAGCTCTGACCCTCTGCGAGACATTACACACAGGTAGGAGCTACCAGAAACCTGAGCCGGGGGTCCTTCCTGCCAAAGGCACTCAAATGCTGAATGCTTAGTTCTCTAGTTTACTGACCTGCAGCATCTTCATGCTTCCACAACGACGACTGCCACAGCCAGAGGCCTTATGTTTTCAGATTGTCTGTACGTCTTGTTTAACATTTGACACAAGTGTCCATTTGGACTCAAAGATGAACGGTTTAGATTCTGGTGGTTCAAGGTCAAGGTCAGTGACCTCATGAATTTGCCACGTGGGCAGAGGTGTGCCACCATGTGGCACCATGTGGCACACCTCTGGGTAACTGGGTCATTTTAACCAACTGTATACTTCTCCTGTAAAATCCAGGTTTTTCTACATGTACCTGTTTTTGTCTGCATTGCCCATGTACTGTGCTGTTGTTTAACTGTGGTGAAGCTGTGTAGACAATATAGGTCCTCACCTAAACCTAAAAAAAGACAGCTACACCCATGGAGCTTTCAGCTCCACCCAGCTCAAAACCTTGAACACTGTGCAGCCGCATCTGGAAACACCTCTGGACCCTTAAGATCTGAAGTCTGGTCTCCCCTGGTCTGAGGAGCCCAGGTGTGAGTAAGAAGGTGCAAGGTACCTTGCTGTGGTATTTGCCCCGCCCCTTGTAAGTGTCATCCATCATCAGACAGGACAGGATGTCCAGCAGCTTCATCTCTGATAGGCTGAAACACAACAAGAAAGGAACACTGCAGCACCATCAGCAGTTCCATTTGCACGGTACTGTATGCGGTTGTAAGGAAGCTGCTGCTCTACATGTAGTTGTCATATGGTGTGGGAAGGTGACTGGATATCAGTTAACTAACCTGATGTTGTGATTGGCCAGCTCAGTGATGAAGGCAGTCTCAGCAGGGGTGACGAAGAGCAGGCTGCTTCCTCCTCCTCCGATACGAGCTGTCCGTCCGACACGGTGAACGTATTCTGCTGCTGCTGTCGGAGGAGTGTACTGCAGAAACACAGAAGCATTTACTACATGGTAACTGTAGTACCACTTTTAAACCACGCCTACTCTGACTGGAGGTTGGTCATTAGTTGTGGAAACACAAAAGGATTATTGAATGAGACAAAAAACATCCACACAAACACAAAGAGAACGAAGATGGGGGATTTGCTCCCGTGTCATCATCCCAACCTGAGCCTTCAGTCCGTATGAACTAGTATGATGCTTAAGATCTAAGCCAGTAACTGGATGAGACAACCCAGGTGGACACACCTGAACTGTCCACTCTGATCCTGACAACCTTTGTAGCTGTTTTCATGTCCTGACTCTTTATTTACCTGAACAATCCAGGTGACCCGAGGAAGGTCCAGACCTCTGGCCGCTACATCCTGAAATATGCGTCTCAGTGTTAGAACATAAAACACTTGTAGAGCACGTATGACAGAGTCAGCATGGTGGGCAGCAGACACACTGACCGTACAGAGCAGGACCCCAGACTGAGTCACTGAAAACTGCTGGAAGACGTCAGAGCGCTCCTGGTGGGGAAAACAAGCACAGACTGACTAAGCTCAGGTACACCAGCACCAAAGAGTAGAGAAAGGCTGGATTTAGAAACACTGACATGGGGGTCTCACCTCCTGCTTCAGGTTGCCATGGAGACGCATGAAGCGAAGCTGAGACTTGTCACTGGCCGAGGGCCCCGTGAGGACGGAGGTGAACAATGAGTAGAGGAACTCGACAGCCTCGCAGCTCGAGACAAAGACGATGAGTTTGTTGTCACGGAAAAACTACAACAAAGAGAGCATTTCTATTATTTTGTCCACCCTGTTCATATCACAGAGACTAAACACCAGAAACATCTCCGTGTAAGACGGTACAGGTAAACAGCAGTACAACCTCCAGCCTCCACCACAACCAGCAGTTGACTTAGGTGTACCTAATAAACTGACACTGCATGTTCAATCTGGTTACCTTGCATTTGTCCAGTATGAAAGCAGCCAGACAGACCAGTCGGATCTTACTGGGAACCACCACCACATACTGCTTCAAAGACTCTGGCACAGCAAAGCTCTCCGACTGGCTGGCTGAGCTGGGGTCAGAGGTCACAGCGGTGGTGAGGTCAGAGGAGGCGGGGCCAGACATGTGGATGCTGACTGGGTCGTTTAAACACAGGTCTGCTAATCGGGTCACAGCTGAAACACAGCAGGATGCAAACCTTGATTTATGGTTCTTCATAAAATCTAGGCGGTACCTACGCCGTCTGTAACGGGAAGCCTGGCCCCCTACACCGTCGGTAACGCATAGCCTGAGGTTGAAAACCTCACCCTAAGCAATACAAGTATATGCGTTTATAGTATATGAAGTACAGTGACCTCCAAAGGGAAAAGAGTTCAAACAGAAAAACAGAGAACGAGATCACAGATGACATTTCGAACAGAAATCAAAACAGAAACAGAGCTGAAGTGAAACACCATGTCCTTACCGTGTGTTAGTGTAGCAGACAGCAGGACATTCTGTCGACTTGGTCCTGTAGAATTCAGACTGTTTAATATGATGGTCAGATCCCTCTCAAAGCCCAGGTCCAACGTCCTGAAGACACACGGGTAAAGTGCTGCTAAGAACTGACACTGGATCAAGGTCAAAAGACAATTATACAAAGTGACAGGATTCTTTAGTTTTTGATCACATGTCCCTGTCAGTAAAGCTTCTCAGCTTGTGAATGTTTGTGTAATTGCTGATAGAACTTCCCTTTCCTACACCTACTCAGTAAACAAAACGCAACATGTGAAGTAGAGTTAAAGCTGCTCAAAGAGCGATTTTTCTCCTCTGTTGCATTTAGCTTCACAGTTTTTCCTCAGAAAACAATTAGTGTGGACTATCTCCATTTCTGAGGGAACAAACCGACATGGAGTTCCTCAGGGCTCAATTCTGGGTCCTCTTCTGTTCAGTCTCAAAAAGCCTCCACAAACTCAAACAAGAGGAGGAGTGGAGGTCTATGGCACAAGCCAATTAGCTGGAACAGGGTCTGGACACCACATTCACTTGTGCTGCTGGTCTCTGGATGGGGGTTGTGGGAAGTAACAGACAAAACCACCAGCTGCGTCCTGTAACAGGGAGCACACACTTCTCTGTAGCTACTCATGAAAGAAAGGAAATACTGAAATCAACAGGGAGGTGGCCGGTCTGGTGTCATGG